ATGTGTCTCTCTGTGTGTCTGTGTGTGTGTTTGTGTTGAGCACCAATCACACAGAGATGAGATGATGTAGAGTGGAGATGGTAGAACAGTGATGGAGGAGAGGATGGAGGGAGATGTTGATGGCGTTTTCTTTGTAAAATGTATGGCTACACACACACACACACACACACACACACACACACACACACACACACACACACACAGATAAATATGTTTTCGACATAAAAACTAGATTTACAAATCTGAAGGTCGAATGCACCTAATGAACTTTGAGTCTGATCAAAGACTACATACCTTACCTACTAAACTTCAGTTTGGACTAAACTAAACACAGCCCGTCCGTGTCAGTGAAATCATGTAGATTTCCCATGAGGCTTCAAACGAGTATTTAACCTAACAATCTTGATGTAGGAAGGAGAAACTATAAACTGAAGGGAGGAAAAAACGCCACTTGTCAGTAAAATATTAAATAAATACATTTCCCACATTTTTATGAGGACAACTTTTATCTTTTACGTTTTTTATACCACCTATAAAGTTATAACACATGTTTGTCTTTCTGTGGTTGTAAGGACTGTGTTCTGAGAGCAAATGAAATGAAAGCACCAGTGGTTTGTTCATCTTTTGATCTCCATCTATCCGATCCATCAATCCAGATTTCATATTGAGCTCTTACTCTGTACTTCAGCCTCCTCTTTCTCTCCATCATTTTCTTCTTTTTCTCAAACATCATCCTTTTACTCTTATGTTTCTGTGTCATTTCTTCTTACTCCCCAGCTCCTCTTTTTTTTTTCTTCTTTTTTTTTACCAGCTAATATTTTCTCTCTGACTTTCCTATTTGTTCTCTCTCTGTTTTGGATTCTCTGACAAATCTTACATCTACCACTTTCATGCACACTGTAAGGATTGACAGAAAAGAGAGGCGTGTGTGTGAGTGAAAGAAAAACAGAAAGAGGAAAAATGTGCTTGAAAGAAGAAAGGGAAAAAAGGAAAGAGGGTGTGGGGGGGGGGAAGTGTGGTGGATTGTGTGAGCATCAATATTTCAGTGGACGGAACCTTGGATGAATAATTCAAACTCAGTGTCACACTGTTTCCCACCCAGCAGGACTTTTGGCCTGGTCACACACACACACACACACACACACACACACACACACACACACACACAATCAATCATTTTCTGAAGCGAAGGTGGCCTTACAAAATCGCCTAAATCTCCTCCAGCTGGTCTCCCCTCTCTCTGTAATCCCCCTCCCCTCCCGCCTGCTGGTCTTCGCTTGAGTCTTTAGGATTTTTTACAGAGCGTAGAAATCGCACCTATTCCCCCTGGACTCTGTATGCCAGCTATTTATGTAAGAGGGAAGATTAATTACTTCCCTCCACCCTTTTTTGAAAGATGCAACCGTGCGCTCACTCACACACACACACGCATCTCCCATCATCTCCCCGGCCTTCACAAGAAGACACACACACACACACGGACAGGTATCTCCGTTATGTAAGCGCTGCTTTCCATCAGGTGGTCTAAATAAGCAGACCTATTTAGCGTCACCAGAGCTAACGCTGAGGGACTGTCGGAGGAGATTTGGTGCCCCTCTGCTGTTCGCTGGATAGAATTGGGGTCACACACGCAGCCACCCCGTGGTTTTGACCCCTGTGTTTGGGAGTTTGACGCTGAGAGGGAGCTTATCTGAGCGTGCAGAGTGTTGTGGCTTTACAGATAAGGGTTCAGTCGCCTTTGTTGTTCTGTGCCATCACGTTTGTGGTCTCTATTTACCCTGTGACATAATTCTTACAATACAACGAGTAAACATGACGCAGAGACGAGATGCAGAACCAGTAGCGAGTCCACGACAGGATCAGGTGCATGATACCAGTGACAGAAATGACTGAGCGTTTTTAGAGACGAGCTGTGTGACCTGGACCGGAAATGACCATGAAATGAAAAATTGAAAAAACATCTAAAACATAAAATAACAAACAAACGCTGATGAAAACACGACCTCCTTCACAGAGGTAATCAGTTAAATAGCATATGAACTCTGATCCTTGATCCTTGACAGATTAATTAGTGAAGGAAAACCAGTAGCTGTTAACGGAATCTTCAAAATACTTTTTACTAATTTGCTGTATGAGTTCTACCTTTGTAATCTACACTCTAAACATCAGCGTCAGTGTCATTCTAATGCTAATTCATTCACGTTTTCTCTCCGTATACATTTCCTCTTGGCCCCACTGTGTCTGTTCCTTACATTAGTATTCATGTAATGTGCAGCTCACGTTGTAGCAGCCTCATTTTCCAACCATTCTTCAAGTTAATTTCAGCAGCCTCAGCACAGACTGAAGCCAGGATGCTGCGCTGGATGTTTGGAAATAAAAAAATGAAAAAACAGAGATGGTCACACACACATGGTAAACACACCCGGGGGGTATTGTCCTCTCGCCAGCAGCGCACACTGTACAGTAATTTAGCGTCTACGTGCTCCACTGGCTCTCTCATAAATCAATGGTCCTGTAGTGATGCTGTTGATATCAGCACATCAGCCATCTGCTCCGAGGACATGGGCTCTGTGTCACATACATAGCACTGCTGTGTATTCCCATATGAGACACAAGCCCTTATGGAGCCGGTCTCGCTGTTGTTATGATGAATGTGTTTTCTTTTTTCACCATTTATAGTTTCTCTCATCTTCATTTGTTTCTGTGTTCATATGATCTCTCTTTTCACTCTCTCTCTCTCTCCTCCTCTTCTTCGTCTTAAATCAAAGAAATTTGACTTCTCCTTCGCTGCCCCGTCCTCTCCCTCTCGAGCAGATGCATTAATATGCATTCCACTCAGTCTGCTCTCGCCACCGTCCTCTGGTGTAAATGATTCAACGCAGTGGTTTTCTGGACGTTTTCTTTCTTCTTCCTCTTTGTGGTTGCAGTCTCACTCGGAGGCTAGCGTAATTTTCACACTTTCTGTCCGTTGGTTGACTCTTCCCTCAAACATTTACTCTGCACCAGCTATTGTCTCCACACATCACATCTCCCTGTTAATCCTTTTGTCTGTCAGCAGATTCTGTCTTGTTGTTTCTCGACTTCCTCTCATCTGTGCTTTTTTCAATTCTTATTTTCTGTATTTCTGCATTTATGTGTGTGTGTGTGTGTGTGTGTACGCGGAGGCATCTAAGTATTATTTCTTTGTTTGAGCTGTCAGAGCTTTGGCAGCCAGCAGCCAGATTTCCTTCCATTCAGATGCAATTACAGTTTGGAGTCTCACTCCCTCGTCTCATATCTGCACAGTGTGTATCCTCGTTTCATCCCTCCACCTGTCTATTGATCCCTCCTTCATCACGTCTGTGTTTCTTCATGCAGCCACACATCTGCTTCTCTCTCTTTATCCCTGGATAAAACAAAACAACTTACCATTCATTCCCTGGATACTGGAGACTAATGCCGATCCATCTTATGAGCCTATGTTTGTTTTGCAATAATTAATCAGAGCAAGAGGAGGAAACAATGATATGGTAAATACATTTATATGCATGTATTCATGTATATATTTGTGTGTGCAGAGACAAAATACGAGCTGGGTGAACAGTGGCTCCAGCCCTTTATTATGCAGATGTTTTGCATCTGCTTCTTATCATGTGTGAATTAAAGTCCAGTAATATTCAGGGCCGGCAAACACTGGTTTATGTTTATTTTATGTTCAGTCTCTATATGTCTGTATTTACAGACGTCAGAAACACAAAATTAATTCGTGTTGAAATGTCACGTTTGCTCTCTGGTCAGATTCGGCCTCGGCGCAGCAGAGATTTAAACAGCGTTGCAGATTCATCATGGTGCTGCACCACAAACAGAACCAACCTAATAAGACATTATGTAAAGCAGCTTTTTACATTAGTTAGAGTCACTTGAATGTTTCCTGGTAGTGAGTGGAGTTTTTCTAGCAGCACGTGGTGTAAAGTATTTTCCTCTGTGATTCCTGCGTGATTCCAGGTGAGAAAGACACATGTATGAGGAGAGAATTGATTTCTCTGTACACAGTGAATTATTAATCACGGGTTATCAGGCCTCTGACTCCGACAGTTACTTACCAGCTATTGTTGGAACAGAAGATTAAAACAGGTTTATTGTCGGATCTGAGCTGTGTCACGATGTCAAAGTTGCCCCTGATAGCTGACAGTGTGT